AAAGTATCATGAACGATTCATAGATTTTCATGTAGCGACCACACAAATTATGCAAGTATATTCCTATCTCACATACAATTTATGGCATTCGACACAATGAACTCAACGCATAATTTCCCTTCCAGTTCTATTATGATTAACCAATCATCTAATTAGTTGCCAATTAATTAAAAGCATTAAGAACGGTGATGAACACTTAATCTTAGAAAATAAAAATAAATAACTCGAATAAAAGAAATTAAAATATCATAATGGGGCTCAATTAGAGCTTTAGCAAAATAAAACTAAAACATAATTAATTTAAAATAAATCAAGGGTTCCAATATCCCAATTCACAACAATACAGAGATAAATAAATTAGAAAGAAAAACTCATATGGAGGTGTCATGTGCTCTAAATTTGACTCTTTAATCCTTAATCTTTAAAATATTTTCTCCCTTACAAAATCTAAAACTAAAAATAAAAATCTTAAAAGAATGACCCTAACTTTCCCAAAATGATTCCCCTAATTTTTTCTCTCAGCTCTTCCCATGGGGCTTTTCTTGTTTTTGGGTGCTTTGCTCTGTGAAGTAATCGCAGGGGTTTCTCTCCTCTTTTGATTTGCGGCTGAAAGGCTTTTATATAGCCTTGGAAAAGTCTCTCGTTAACCAAAGATAAGGATCAAGTCCATTAGGGTCTGACGCAAGCTAGGACAGGTGGCAGCGTTTGGTTGGCTACTAGGGAAGTGTTTGGCTGACATGGATTTCTTGTGCACGTGGAAGAGTTCTTCTCTTGGAATGTAGGAATAATCACAGGGGGGCTGCTATCCTCCTTGGTCTTGCGGCTGCTAAAAACTTTATAAAGCTTTCCTCATTCACACGTCAGCAAAGCAAACAACAAAAACCTTTAAAGTGCGTTTGGTACGCCGTAACGAGCAAGAATCGTATTACTAAAAAAATGATAGAAAGTAATATAATTTTTAAAAAATATATATTATTACGTTTGGTTATAAATGAAAATCTTTTATCACATTTTCAAGAAAATTATTTTATTATTTTTAGTTAGTACAAAATAATGTAATATATTTTTTCTTAATAATAATTAATTTAAAATATTTAAAATACTAAAAATTTGATTATTCTTAAAGAAACTCAAAAATTCTTCTTAGTTTAAGAAATAAATTTGTAAGTTGTTCTTAAAAAAAAAAATCTTAATAAATTTTTAAGAATATATTAAAATCTCAAACCAAATATAAAAATTTGATTAAGCAGATTTGATAGTCGGGGTGGGGGAGTGTTGCAGACGGTGGCGACCCAACCAAATTTATATAATCATCAACTTTTTCTCGGAGCAGATCCAATCGCCGATGCGATGAGCCACTTGGAGTCGGCGAGGTGCTGACGTCGACGAGGAGGCGAGGCTGTAAATCAATAGTTAAATGGAAATCTTCGATGAAAAACAAGAAATACCCAGAAGAAGGTTAAACAAATCCATACACATGGGTGTAAATCCAAAAGTGAAGGATTCCCTAAAACCCCAAAATGCAGCGGCATTGAGCACCCACTTGTCCCTAACCTGCAAGGAGAAGCATGACTCCCGTTCCTCCTCCGACGCCAACTCCGACCGCCAAACCACATCCAAACCCACTCTAAGGAATCACCATGTTTAAGGAGCCAACCCCACATGGGCTTTTCCCTCCCCAGTGGAGGCTGACAGGGTTGGATTTCGCGGGACAGAAAGCGGAGGGGTCTGAGTTTTGTTCGACAGAGGTCGTCGAGGTCTTGAGTTTCGCACAGTGGAGGTCAATGGCGGCACGGGGCTGGGCTAGTCATGGGCTGTTGACAGGGGGCTGGGTTGGCCATGGGACACTGGCGTTAGGCTGGGTTGGCCAGAGCATGTGACACGGTGGTTATGGTGATAAGTGCAGTGGTGTGGCTTTGATAATGGTGGCTATTGGCTGTTAGTGAGATTCCCACCTTCTTAGGATTATGAATTCTGCGCATTTGAATAACACCTTGTTCAGATTATTTTAATTTAGGATAAAGTGAATCCTATAGAATTTAATGTGAGAAGATTTCCATTCTTATCTAAAAATTACTGCATACCAAATACTCCCTTAAAGCTCTGATTATGCATGCCACATGGCAGAGTGTAAATGGCTGGAATGGAGAAGCAATCTGATGGCTTTTAATTTTTCAATTACTTTTAACCCCAATTAGTCTCTTTAATTGCCTTTTCACCTAATTAAAACACAACCAAGGATTAATAAAATAATTAGAGGAAAAATTAAATAAAATCAACTAAAATAAAATAAAATAACAGAAAATAAAACTAAAAATAAATAAATTTTTTTAAGAACAAAACAAATTTAAATGCAAATAAGAAGAAAAGTAGCTCTATTTTATAGAGTTATTACTGAATTTCTAAGTGCTCGCTACCTCGAATCTGGCTGCAGCCGAAAATAGCCAGTTGCAGTCCAATTTGTCAAAGATTTTAGCTGCAGTTAGAATGTAGCTCTATTGTCTCCAAAAATACTTGGTTTGAACCATTTATTTCTACGAACTAAAAACCTACAAAACATAATAAAAAGACTACAAAACACCAAAAATTAACAAAATTACTAAGAATGGAAACTTTTAGTTAAATCACGTTATCATAAATCCATACTGTGTTACAACTCCATGTTACTTAAAATTAATGCTTTTGATGCAAACATTTTTTATTTTAGGGAATGATTTTTATTTTTAAATTAAGTTACATGACGAAAACGGCCCTAGGATCTTTCCTATGAAAATGATTTGATTGGTATTACACATCAAAGGTTATTGATTATTTAGATATTAAAGTCAATATGCCAACATGAAAAAATATATATATATTATCATAGTATGCATGGCAAATTATTATTATATTATCTTGAGTTTGACTCAATCCTGCGAATGAAAAGAAAATGATAACTCCAGTCCTTAAACTATACAGAGATTCGATTTGGATTCGAAGATTTATAACATAAGAGAGCATTAAAGGGTGAAATTGACGCATATCAATAAGAAAGAGCCCAGATATATTAGTCAGTTCAATTTTGGAACCTTCTTGCACTAGATTATTTCCATTGGTTGACCAGGCAATAGTTCTCTCAGGAAATTCAATAAAACTCAATTGTTTAGTTTTAATGCTAAACACATTGCTAAGGCTTTTCAATTCAAAATAACAAGCTGTTGTTTTGTTGAGAAGCCACGTTGAAGAAATAGGGATTTCTTTGATAGATGCATTAAAAAATGAACGACTGAAAAAATTTTATTTTCAATCATCTGATTCGTATTAAAAATGATTTATTTTACATAATTTTTTAAATGAATGTGATTTTAAATAAATCTATCGGTTGAAAACTAACCATATTATTAGAGAGGCTTTACAAGAGAAATTCTCCGAAGAAATAGGATATTTGAATTTTGTCCTGGAAAGTTGAAAATAACAGGGTTACGATTTCAAGGGGTGGTTGTGTTTGATTGTTGCATGCCGTCAAACTTGATCACTAATTTTGTAACCAAAGTTTTCAACGTCGTAATGTGTTGGATTAGACACTTGGCTAATTAGGAGGAATAGATGGACCCTGTCCATTCGTCGTTTGGTACCATGTCAGATAAATTTACATTTTTTTTTTTCGTTCTACTGATAAATTTACATGGTTAAAAGTTAAATGCAATTTAAATAGGTCTGCTAGGACTGACAATAACAACTCCATTTTTTTAATAGCAAAGAAAGAATTGAAAACCAAAATAAAAAGGGGGAAAAAATCTCGAATATACGTCGGGCCCGTTTAGTTCGTTGATTCAAGTTTTTAATTCGAGTTGAGATGTGACGTTATGTGAGAGTTTTTTACTGTAACAAAAAAGTTAGATGTGACTGTTTCTGAGAGCTTTTTACTGTAGTAAAACTTAAATTCTAAACTCGAATCGGCGAAATAAACGGGGCTACTCCCACAACACCCCATTTAAAGGGTTAAGTTCACAATTGAGAAAATTGTTGAACTTACTGTTAGAGTGCATAGGTCTACATTTTTTTCTTTTACTTTTGATTAAACACTTTTGACTAATATAGTAATTTTTTTAATAACTAATATAGTTATTTAATTAAAAAAGATAATAATTAAGAATAATGAGTAAAAATTTAGACTCATACACTTTAATGAGTATTTATCTCTTTTCCCATTGTAATTTAAGGTGGTGTTTAGTTCATGAGTATAAATTTTTTTGTTAAAATTTTTTTCTCTTATAAAAATTTAATTTTTTATTCAAATTTTTAATGATTGGATATCATTGAAAAAGATAATATTAAAAGAAAAGATTTATAGAGCAAAATAAATTAGAAAAAATAATATTATATTTTAGTTAATTCTGTCTTATATTTTCCATTGTCTGCTCTTGTTTTGAATTTTACATGTTAATCATATGTTTGAAAAAATTTAGGCCCGTTTAGTTCACGAATTCGAGTTAAAATACGATTTTATGTGAGAGCTTTTTACTGTAGTATGAAAGTTAAATGTGATTATTTTTAAGAGCTTTTTACTGTAACAAAACTCGAATTCTAAACTCAAATCGGTGAAATGAATAGGTCCTTACATTATTGTCATATTTTTTAGAATTAATTAATTGTCATATATGATTATATGTAGAGATTTATTGATTATCTCAAATAAAAAAGATTTTAGGAAGGCTTTTATCATCTTTTGGGCCTTTTGTATGATGACAAAGCCAAATAGTAAGTGAGAATATTACGTCCAGGTCCAGAAAACCCCCCAAGTTTAAAATTTCAAAATAAAACGAAATTAAAGAGGACCGCCCAGCTTAAAAAATTTCAATATAAAGGATCGCGATCCGCACCTCAAATGAATCCCAACCGTCCACTGTGACACAAAACCAACGCTTCGGATTAACATCCAAAGGCGCAAAAAATTTTGAAGTTTCAACACACCCGCTTCTCCCCTCTTTTCGCCCCCCTTATAAATCGCCACTCCAAGTTTCCCCCAAAATTTCATTGCTTTCTAGTATTATTCTCATTTTCCTTGGAAACAAACACTTCATTTCCTTTCACAAATCCAATCGTTCTTCGAAATGGCCCGCACAAAGCAGACGGCAAGAAAGTCCACCGGAGGAAAGGCGCCGAGGAAGCAGCTGGCGACGAAGGCCGCGAGGAAGTCGGCTCCGGCGACCGGAGGAGTGAAGAAGCCTCACCGATTCAGGCCTGGAACGGTGGCTCTTAGAGAGATCAGGAAGTACCAGAAGAGCACGGAGCTTCTGATTCGGAAGCTTCCATTCCAGAGGCTGGTAAGGGAAATCGCACAGGACTTCAAGACTGATCTCCGATTCCAGAGCAGCGCCGTCGCCGCTCTTCAGGAGGCCGCGGAGGCTTACTTGGTCGGTCTCTTTGAGGACACCAACCTCTGTGCCATCCACGCCAAGAGGGTGACGATCATGCCCAAGGACATTCAGCTCGCGCGTAGGATTAGAGGCGAGAGAGCTTAGATTTGAGATGTCTGACATTTCTGAGAATTGTCTCCTTGTGCTTAACAGGATGTAATGGGTTTTCTTTTCGAAACGTTGGGTTTTGTATAATGTTGTTGCAATCCAATGGCTAATTTGCGATATGTAAGCTAGTTTCTTTTGTTATTGAAAGAAATCAAGTTTGCTAAATTGAGTTCACTTTTGTTAGTATTTGTCGCTTAAAGGTTGTGTTTTTGCGTAATTCGCTTATTTTTCAGTTGGTCCTTCCTATCTCTTCATTTATGCAAGTTTTTTTTTTCCTTTATTATCATTTATTATGGATTCATTGTTGCCAGTTTAATTTCTAAGAATTGGACACCAGAGTAGCAAAAAAATTATTAAAAAAGCCGTTGTGAATGAGTTTTCTGACTAATGTTTTATTATTTATGTTGGCTCGTTTAGTTCATTGATTTGAGTTGAGATGTGATTTTATATGAGAATTTTTTATTATAGTAAAAAAATTAGATGTGATTGTTTGTGAGAGTTTTTTACTGTAGCAAAATTCGAATTAGTGAAATGAATTGGCCAAATCTTTTTTTATTTAGGGGCAAACTAAATGTGATTGTTTGTGAGAGTTTTTTATTGTAGCAAAATTTGAATTAGTGAAATGAATTGGCCAAATCTTTTTTTATTTAGGGGCAAACTATTCATGTGCCATTTTATTGATAAAACGACGTGTGTTCTTTACATGTTGGTCGCAACGTTGATGTCGTTTCCTTTAAAAATAGAGAATATGGCTTTTTAATTTTTCTATGGAAACTAAAGAATCGTTTTCCCATAAAAAATAGCAAAAATGGTTTCAATTAAGTCTTTTTTCTACTTATCCAAACGACTTGTTCTTGTGTTTTATTGCAATGAAAGCATTTTTCAATTTGTCGTTTATTATCTGTGTAAGCTGCATGTAGTTTTAATCAGAAGATGTTTCTAATCTTGAAGTAGTAAGGTCTCGTTCATTTTATTGATTTGAGTTTAATATTTAAATTTTGTTATAGTAAAAAGATTTTAAAAACAGTAACATTTAATTTTTTTATTATAATAAAATTCTCACATAAAATTACATTTTAACTCAAATTAACGAATTAAACGGCCTAAATTGACATCTCGTTATTTATTTAATATTAAACGAGATGTCTTTCACGCATTCATTTATTATCATTAATTATGGATTCATTGTTGCCAGTTTAATTTCTAAGAATTGGACACCAGAGTAGCAAAAAAAGTATAAAAAAAGCCGTTGTGAATGAGTTTTCTGACTAATGTTTTATTATTAATGCTGAATAATCTTTTAATCTTTTTTATTTAGGGGCAAACTATTCACGTGCCATTTTCTTGATAAAACGACATGTGTTCTTTACATGTTGGTCGCAACGTTGTTGTCGTTTCCTTTAAAAATAGATAATATGGCTTTTAAAAAATAACAAAAATGGTTTCAATTTATTGTCTTTTTTCTACTTATCCAAACGATTGTGTTTTATGAAAGCATTTTTCAATTTGTCGTTTATTATCTGTGTAAGCAGCATGTAGTTTTAATCAGAAGATGTTTCTAACCTTGAAGCAGTAAATTGACATCTCGTTATTTCTTTAAATATTAAACGAGATGTCGTTCACGCATTCTTTTTTTCATAACATGTAAACGACATTTTTTATGGTAAACGACATTATAGTTAAACTGCATTACTGCATATTAATTTTCCTTTAAGCTAACGACACGTTCGCTACTTTTGAGTCGTTTTTATGCAGTATGAACCGCATCGTTTCCTCCAAAAGAAGTAATAAATGCCATGTACCTTTCGGTTGTAGTTACATAAACGACATGTTTTTATTCAACAAATAACGACGTATCAAAATTGAGAGCTAAATCTAGTGTTGAAAATTTAGACCAGGCTAGACGGGGTCAGCCCAAAGCCCATTTTATGGGCCTGGAGACCGGTCTGAATATGTTTAAGCTCGAGCCCGGCCCTAGTGTAGCGCCGGGTTAGGCAGTAATTTTAGGCCAACAGGCAGCGCGAGCCTGACCTGGAGAGCTTGAATAGCCCGGCCTGAAAATAGTCCAAAATGACCCGGCTCGGGCCGGGCCTGAAAGGTTAAGGAGCAGTCGGTCTGCTGCAGGCCTGCAGCCCAAAGGCCATGCCCTTTTTTTTTTCCTGGGTTGTTTACTTGTTTTTGGCCCAACGGTAATATTACCATTGGGCTGAGTCATTGCCTCACGACAGTAAGTCTGAAGCAGAGAGCTGCAACCCTCTACTAGCCCCCCCCCCCACCCACCCAAAAAAAAACCCTAAATTTTATCTATAAATATTCCCATTATTAACCCATTTTTTTCACACAACACAACTTTCACTCTCTATTCTCTTCTTATTCTCCAATTTTGTTAATTATCTCAATTTTGTTATTTCATTTTTGTTTGAAAAAAAAAAAAGTTGGTGATTCTCTAATCTCTACACTAGTCTCTACAATATTCAAGTCACAATTTCATTATCCATATAAAGTAATCAAGGTATTGATAAATTTTATAATTATAAATGTTTTAATTTTTTTATATCTAATTTATTGTGAATCAAGGTATCTAATTTATATCTAATTTATTGTAACTGTGAAAATAATACTGCACTCTTTTTTTCTTACTAAGGTTTTATCCTAATGGGTTTTTTTAGTAAGGTTTTTAATGAAGAAGTTATAATTACATAAATAAAGTCTTATTCCATTAAAATTTTACATTATTCACTATTTATTATAAAATTCGTTATCTTTTTTTAAATTTATATAAATCATGCTCGGGCCAGGCCGGCCAGGCTTGCAATAGCCCGGCCCGGCCCTAGGCCCGTCGGGCCTTAGGGTAGGGCTGGGCCTATATAAAGTTATTTAGGGTGTAATGACTGAGAAAATTTCAGACCTTAAATAATACAATTCATGTATTTTTAAGCCAAGGATTTTCTTAGAAAATATTATGTTATATTGTGAATGGAGGATTTATGGAATTAATATATGTATTCCTAAATTCTATAGCAAATTTCATGTTAAGTTCATGTTTCGATCAAGTAAATTCGATCGATAAATTCTCGCCGTATTTTAAGGCGGAATAATTTTCAGTACAAGTATAGTTTGAGAATCTTAATTTCAAGAATCTCCAAGCACAGCACGATGTTAGCGGCGTATAAAAAAAACGCACTGACATTTTAAAAGAAGAAAAAAATCCTTAATTGCCAGACAGTTAGGTTAAAGTCACAAGATAAATACCTATAGTAGATGGATACAATATGAGCTCGGGAGTTGACACTGTCAGAAACGTCATTCTCGGGATAGAATGCAGAAAAGTAAAATTTAGAATTTGTTCAGTCTAAAATTAATTTCAAGACTTGAAACAGTTTGAAATATTACGCGAGTAAGAATATAAAACAATATTGAATTATTCAGAAATTAATATTGGACTGTAAGTAGTAGATTAACTTACGTGAGCTAAACTAATTACCTCTAATCAGTATAAATTTAATCTGTTTAGA